TTTTTTTATTTTAGCTGCTTTCTCATGTTTGAAATGCATTTAATCTGCATTAGCATTAATATATGTACTAGTCAGTTTATATCCTGTATGTAGGCATCCGCATCTTTCTTCCAATCTTAACCCACAAACCCCTCAATGCTATGTGGTAGCTGTCACTAGTCACAACACTGATAAAATATTTAACCTAAAGGTTAATGTGCCCACAAGTTTAGCTCCTAAACAAATTTTATCTGTGATTTTTGCACAGGGGCAAATTGAAGTGGTTGGGGCCAGGGAGATGGCTTAGTGAAATAAGCGCTTCCCTGGCAAGCACAAGGGCCTGAGTTCAATCCCTGGTTCTGAAAAAAAAAAAAAAAAAAGTAAAAAGAAAAAACCAAATTGAAGGGGTACCTGGTCTCCCTAAGTTGATCACATTGCCTTGGAGCTCATGATCTTACCTTAGACTCCCACGTAGCTGGGATTACAGGCCTGCATCAATATGCCTAGTTTGTAGTCTACTTTAAAAAAATGCTTAAACTAGAAGAGGTGTAATTTCCACATTGTATTAATCACATAGGTCCTTGCTTTAGGCCATCAATGTTGTTGGGACTAAGAATAGGATTAAGGCATACAGATTATTTTCCTACCAAGTGTGTCTTTTTCTGTAACTGGCTGCATTGTGTCCTTTAGTCAAGCAACACAAACACTTGCTACCAGCCATATGATTGACATATATACTACAGAGACAGACAGATACAGGTAATTATCTAGACAAGGCGGCCCAGGCCTGTAATTCCAGTTATTCGGGAAGCTGAGGCAGAAAGATAACAAACTTGAGGCTATCCTGGGCAATGTAGCAAAATCCTGTCTCAAAAAATAAAAGTTGCTAGGCTACAGCCCAGGACTAAAGTACCCCTGACTGATCTCAATCACCAAAATGAACCAGGAGGTCGACACAAGAAACACTGCCAGTCGTACTTACATATACGTAGTCATGATTTTCAGTTTTTCATACTTGTGTTCCTTTACATTTGATATACTACAATTTAGTCAGGAAATATTTAACTGGAAAATTTCAAATTTTCATACTTAATAGTGCAAGAACAAATAGGATTGACTCAAAGGCAGGAAATTAATATAATTTCTATGTCTAAATTGTACTGGATTTTAAACAATCCCATTTTGACTATGAAAACCCTAAACACAGCTTGTCCCTCCGACTTGGCCCTTTTTTTTTTTTTTTTTTTTTTTGTCTTTTTGAGACAGGGTCTCATGCAGTCCAGGCTGGCCCTGAGCTCACTGTGCAGCCCAGGCTGATCGATCAGCCCAGCTCAGCCTCCGAGTGCTGGGATTACAGGGGTGCGCCACCAGGCCCTGCCTTTGACTTCAAACAAAAAATACTGACATTCACGGTAGCTCTTTCATCTCAGATCCAGCCCGGGGCTGGGTTCGCCTGGCAAGAATCGTCCTGCCCGTGAAGCGGTTTCCATTCCTCCCGGGCCGCGCTCCGAGGCGTCCCAGAGGCCCCGCCGGGCGGAACCTTCCCGGGCTCGGCAGGGCCCCGGGCCTCCAGCCTGGGTAGGCGCTCGCCCCGTCGGCAGCTCTGTGAACGATTCTCTCTCGTAACCCCCTGGTTGATCAGACCTTGGCCTGGACACGCGAAGATCAAGACGACCAACGACCTTCTCAGACGTGGACGCCGGCCCCCGTGCCAGTGCTCGCCGGTCAGAGCCCGCTAGCAAGCGCTACGCAGGCGCGACAGTTGCGCGACATCCGTCACTTACGGCCGGAGCGGTTGGAGATAGGAGTTGGTGGCGCGGTGCAGGACTCAGGAACGGACAGCTTGGGCGCGGGTAATCAGCAATTTTGCCTCCTTTTGTCAGTTAGTCTAGGTATGTGGGGCTGCCGCAGAGCTGCCTGACCGGATGCGGGCGCCCCGTCGCGGACTGCCCCCTCGCGCTGCCCGTCGCTCCGGCGGCTCCCGCGCTCAGGTGGGGGTGAGGGGCGGGGCGGCGCTGGGCTCCAGCCTGGCGTCTTGCTGTTGAAATCTCCCGGGTAACTCGTGGCTCTTCTTCTTTTCCAAGTGGCTCGTCTTCTTTTCCAAGACTGGTATCCGGGGACTGATTTTCAGGGTCCGCCATGGAGCCAGAGCAGATGCTGGAGGGACAGACGCAGGTACCAGGAGGCCCTGGATTTGGGGTTGGTGGTGTACGGGAACGGCGAACGAGAGAAGGGCTGATTGCTCTGACTCGTGTTTTGTGTTCTAGGTTGCAGAGAATCCTCACTCTGAGTACGGCTTGACGGACAACGTTGAGGTAACTCGCCCGTGTTAGCTGCCTACCTCTTGAGAGCTGGAGAAATCTTCGGATCCTTTTTTTTTTACCTCGCTAGGGATCGAACTTGGGACCTTGGGCTTGCCAGGCAGGCACTTATGCCACTGAGCCATCTCCCCGCCTTAGGTTACTTTGCACAAGAGAAAGATTAGCTGTTATGAACTCAGTAGTGTCACATTAAAGGTAGCTTGTTTTACTAGCGATACTAATATTTGTTTGAAAATTAGAGGTACTTTGTAATCAGGTAACAATTGGAACAAGTCAGTTAGCCAGAATTAGGTGGGATCGGTTAGGAAAATACTGTATAGGTTTTGTGAAGATTTATTATTATTATTATTTTAAAAGATACAGGAAAGCTTGGACAAATGAGGACAGGAAGTATTTCCAGACATTTAGAAAAGTAATAAATGCTAACATTTCTTCACCTCTTTTGCTATGTGTCTTGCTATGTTCTCTAGCAATTTGCCTATGTGTTTAATCCCATGAAGCTCAAAGAAGTTGTAGCTTGCCCAAGGTCACCAGAAAGTTAGCAGGGAACAAGGTTGACTTTTGTGAAAAGTTTAAACTGTGTTGTTGGGCCGGGGAGATGGCTCAGTGGAATATGCGCTTCCCTGGCAAGCGCAAAGGCCTGAGTTCAATCCCCAGTTCCACCAAAATAAATCAATAAATAAACTGTGTTGTTAATCTTTGTGCGTGGGTGTGTAGCGCTGGGGAGCAAGCCCTGGGCCTCATGCTTGCTAGTGCAAAGCGTGTAGCTATAGAGATATATTCCTGGTCCTGTATTCTAATCTTGATGAATTCCTAGGGTCACTGGTGTGACTCTTGTTGGCCTGTAGGATTGCTAGTGGTGTTTATTGGTTTGGTACCAGTATTAAGCAGAACATCTATTTTTTTCCCAAAATGTTCTTGTAATTGAATTGTTAAGGTGAGTCAGGTGAGTATACTCTATGTTGTTTTGTCACTTAGACCTCTTTAAGGCAGCAGCACAGTTTTCATGGTGCCTGTGAAAGCTGTGATACTGTAGTTGTATTTGGAGAAAAAAGTGAAAGTGAGATGTTTGATATGTGT